AAAAAAAAAAAACAAAACTAAAGAAAAAAAAGGCCCTAATTTTTAGCCCCAAACATAAGGGGAAAATTAAACAGTATTGATGTTTTAACAAAACATATACAAACAAAATATACATAATACATTTACAAACAAGACAATTATTGAACCAAAAAAAAAAGCCCTAATTTTTATCCCAAAAATTGTTGATTTATATTTATTCTATCCAAAACACTATAAAATAGAAAAATGACTATACAAGATTTACCTAATAACTGAGTAGTTGATGTCGTTGGAGATGATTGATGATGAAAAGAGAGAGCTATGGATGGAGAGTGATGAATGAGAGAGAGCTTGGAGTGTCTCTATCTAAGTCATCTCTCGCCTGAAGCTTGAAAAGAGATGGCAAGAATAGTCTAGTGTCCAAAGCAAGATACAAACTATCACTTTACAAATAAAATATTTTAAACAAAAAGTTAACAAAAGAAAGAGATAGTTTTACAAATAAAATATTTTAAACAAAAAGTAGGCAAAAGTCAAAAAGTAAGCTTTTTTTATTAGTGGGTTCAAAGTTTTGGGACTGAAAGCTATGAGTTCAAAGTTGTATTTTAGTGGGTTTAGTTGCAGATTTTTTCCCCTAAAATCTAATACTTATATAATAATAATAAAAAAATCAACCAGGAGGTTCGGGCGACACCCCTGGCCATGTGTTGGAGCCGCTCCTGTTTGGGACCACTAAAATTAACGCCTAAAATATATTTAGACAAATTATATCAATAGTTTATGTATTAATTTTTTATAACAAACGCGTTTATCAATTTTCTAATAAAATTAATAATAAATCATAAGACTAAATTTATTTTATTAATTAATATAATATTTACATACAAAATGATATATATAGTTTTTAAAATGAAAAAAAAAAGTAACAATAGTTTATTAATTAATATTAAATATATGAATATGCTATGGCGTGCAGGCCACGCCCCTTTAGGGATACTTATTATATGTATCCTATCACAAAATAAGTAACGTTATATAAAATTTTGTAACATTAATAATAAAATGTGTAATTTTGTCATAAATTGGTATAACAAAATGTCTAATTTTTTTTTTAAAAAAAATATTTCAATAAATCTTGTTTTCAAGTGTATTATTGAGTCCTATTAAATTTCAATGTAGACAATTAAGTCTTGTTTTTTCTAGTTTATTCTAAAAAAATTCACTTTTCCCTAATAATTTCTTTTATTCCAATTATACCATTCTTATTAAAATATGAACAACAATTATATAAATAATTTTAATTTACTTTAAAAAAATATATTTTTAATTGAAAAAATTGAATAAACTTTTTTTAATCAAATCATACTCAACTATTTGATCAAAAGAACTATTCATCATTTTCTATTGCCTTGTACTATGAAAAATATATTTAGTAAATAATCCAAAAGGTCTATTTTTTTAATATTGCATTAAAAAAATTGTGAAAAATAATACCCTGACAAATTATATATTTTTCAAATTGTATGACAAAAAAAAAAAAACAATGAATCTTAAGCTTATGCTTCTGTTCAATAAAAAAGCAAAGCAATCTAAAATGTTCCATTACTTGCTTTGTAAATAGCTAGGGCAATTACCAACTTTTAATTGATTCATGACAATTTATATTAGTAATCCTTAATTCATATATTTTTGCTCTTACATCATTTCTGCCTTTATAATTTCAATAGACTTGATTTTGATATGAATTTATAATTTTGTCTCAATTTAATTTAACTAATTACAACTTCAAATTATTTTTGATAAAAAATGGGCACATGAGTGGCAACGTTTCATTCTTTTCTAATCAAAAATTTATAAATTTGTTTAATTCAATTATTTAATCTCAACCAATTCAATAACATTTTTCTTCCAGGAACCTTATTCAGCATTATTAATTGGACCAAATTAACACAAAATTTAATATTTAGAATTCAAAATCAAGCAAATTAAAATTACTCAAACCAAAATGATGCAATGGAAAAATAACAATACTACAAATCTATTCTTATCAACTCAAAATCATTACATATGTGAACTTCATACTTTATCAATTCAATATCTATGAGAATAAATTTGGGGTCCGTAAAATGGGTTTCTAGCATTTTTCATGGAAAATATACGAGTAGTGATGTAATTTGACGTTGGTTTTATGGCAAACCATTAGTAATGGCTTCGGGACGACTGGAATTAAAGATAAAAAGACTCACTGTAGCCAACTTCGAAGTCATGGCTGATGGAGGAAGACTTTGCTCTGTAGCCAACTTCGAAGTCATGGCTGATGGAGGAAGACTTTGCTCTGTAGCCAACTTCGAAGTCATGGCTGATGGAGGAAGACTTTGCTCTGTAGCCAACTTCGAAGTCATGGCTGATGGAGGAAGACTTTGCTCTGTAGCCAACTTCGAAGTCATGGCTGATGGAGGAAGACTTTGCTCTGTAGCCAACTTCGAAGTCATGGCTGATGGAGGAAGACTTTGCTCTGTAGCCAACTTCGAAGTCATGGCTGATGGAGGAAGACTTTGCTCTGTAGCCAACTTCGAAGTCATGGCTGATGGAGGAAGACTTTGCTCTGTAGCCAACTTCGAAGTCATGGCTGATGGAGGAAGACTTTGCTCTGTAGCCAACTTCGAAGTCATGGCTGATGGAGGAAGACTTTGCTCTGTAGCCAACTTCGAAGTCATGGCTGATGGAGGAAGACTTTGCTCTGTAGCCAACTTCGAAGTCATGGCTGATGGAGGAAGACTTTGCTCTGTAGCCAACTTCGAAGTCATGGCTGATGGAGGAAGACTTTGCTCTGTAGCCAACTTCGAAGTCATGGCTGATGGAGGAAGACTTTGCTCTGTAGCCAACTTCGAAGTCATGGCTGATGGAGGAAGACTTTGCTCTGTAGCCAACTTCGAAGTCATGGCTGATGGAGGAAGACTTTGCTCTGTAGCCAACTTCGAAGTCATGGCTGATGGAGGAAGACTTTGCTCTGTAGCCAACTTCGAAGTCATGGCTGATGGAGGAAGACTTTGCTCTGTAGCCAACTTCGAAGTCATGGCTGATGGAGGAAGACTTTGCTCTGTAGCCAACTTCGAAGTCGTGGTTGCCGTGCTTGACGGGCTGGGCTGCTCCACCACCACCATAGAAAGACTTTGCTCTGTATAAGATTGAGTAATTCATTTACTCCTCAATCATCAAACTACTATCCATCTTACTCACTCTCCTTTTCATCTCTCTAAATCCTCCTACCTATAACAAAACAAAATGAGTTGGCTTATGTTTCTTCATCAATTTCTTCTGCTATTTCTCTTGTCTTCTTCTTCTTCTTCTTCTTCTACTTCTGCACGCCATACCTGCCTTGAGGACCAGAGATTTTCACTTCTCCAATTTAAAACAACATTTACCATAACTGCTAATGCCTCTTTACGTTGTGAATCTGATTCTCATCCTAAAATGGTGTTCTGGAATGAGAGTGGTGATTGCTGCTCGTGGGAGGGGGTCACGTGCGACTGGTCCAATGGTCATGTGATTGGACTTGACCTCAGTTGCAGCCACCTTCACGGCACCATCCAACCCAACACCACCCTCTTCCACCTTCGTCACCTCCAAACCCTCAATCTTGCCTTCAATGACTTCAATTTCTCTACAATTTCACCTGACTTTGGCTCCTTTCCAAGTTTGACCCATCTCAACCTCTCTTACTCTAATTTTACTGGCCGAATTCCTTCAAAAATCTGCCATCTGTCCAAATTGGTTTCCCTTGACCTCTCTTATTTCAATCATTACCCTCATAATCCTTATGGTTATTCTTATTCTCTGGCGAGACTTGAACAACACACTTTCAATATGCTCCTTCGAAACCTAACCCAATTAAGAGAACTACACCTTGATTCGTTGAATATCTCTTCACCTTTACCTCATGCTTTGCTAAATCTATCTTCTTTGACATCTCTCAGTCTTCGCTATTGTCAACTGCGTGGGAAATTCTCAGAAAACATTTTTCACTTTCCAAACCTACGAGAGCTCTGTGTATCGGGAAATTCGGAACTCACAGGTAAACTTCCATACTTCAATGTGACTAGTTCCCTTCAGTTTCTTGATCTCTTTGGTTGCAAATTTTCGGGGTCCATTCCAGCTTCTCTTGGGAACCTTACACAAATCACCTATCTAGACTTCGGGTCTAACAGTTTCGGCGGTCAAATCCCCTCATCAATTTCAAACCTTGCAAAGCTTAATACCTTGTATCTTGACGGAAACAATTTGACCGGACAAATACCGGATTCTCTTGGCAACATGAGCCAACTTACTATCTTGTATCTTGAGGGAAACAATTTGACCGGACAAATACCGGATTCCCTTGGCAACATGAGCCAACTTACTATCTTGTATCTTGACGGAAACAATTTGACCGGACAAATACCGGATTCCCTTGGCAACATGAGCCAACTTACTATCTTGTATCTTTCCGGAAACAATTTGAACGGACAAATACCGGATTCCCTTGGCAACATGAGCCAACTTACTATCTTGTGTCTTTCCAGAAACAATTTGAACGGTCAAATACCGGATTCCCTTGGCAACATGAGCCAACTAACTTCTCTCGATTTGAGTTATAACTCACTCAATGGGACAATACCATCTTCGTTGTTTGCTGTGCCTTCACTGGTTTATATGGATTTGAGTAACAATAAGCTACAGGGACCAATTCCAGGATTAGTTTATGAACTCCAGAACCTAACAAGATTGGGGCTTTCATCAAATAACTTAAGTGGTGTAGTGGAGCTAGATAAGCTGCTTAGTCTAAAATATTTGTCCTATCTTGATCTCTCATATAATGGTCTCTCATTGAGCATCAATAACAGTGTCAACACTACCTTGACCAACTTTGACACTATAGGATTAGCTTCTTGCAACTTGAGCGAATTCCCAATCTTCTTGAGAGAACAAGCCGGATTGAATTCTCTAGACCTTTCAAACAACAAAATTCATGGTGCAGTTCCAAAATGGTTATTTAATATGGGGAAAGATTCATTGCAAAATTTAAATCTTTCTCATAATTTCCTTACAAGTTTAGAGTGTCTTCCATGGAAGAATCTAGCAATTATTGACCTGCACTCCAACTTACTCCGAGGACCATTCCCCGTTCCACCTAACAGCACATATGTTTTCTCTATCTCAAACAATAAATTGACCGGAGAAATCCCTACATTGATTTGCAATCTGAGGGGGCTTGCAATTCTTGATTTGTCTAATAACAGTTTGAGTGGCTTGATTCCACAATGTTTGGGAAACTTGAGCAATAGTTTATCGGTACTGAATTTAGGAATCAATAGCTTTCGTGGCAGGTTTATTGCAACATTTACCAAAGGCAACATGCTAAGGAATCTTAACTTGAATGGCAACCAAATTGAAGGACAAGTTCCACGATCTTTGCTCAATTGTAGACACTTGGAAGTTCTAGATCTTGGGAAAAACAAGATAAATGATACATTTCCCCACTGGTTGGAAACTCTTACAGAATTGCAGGTTCTTGTCTTGAGGTTTAATAGGTTTCATGGTCACATAGGCACCTCCAAGACCAAAGGCAAACATCCTTTTCCTAAGCTGAGAATTATTGACATATCTTGCAATGAGTTCACTGGCCTTTTGCCTACAAATTATATCAAACAATTTGGAGCTATGATCAATGTCAATGAACATGAAATGAAATTGAAATACATGGGTGATAGCTATTATCAAGATTCTGTGGCGGTGATGATTAAAGGATATGAGATTGAATTATCAAGAATCTTAACAGTCTTATCAATTATTGATTTTTCAAGAAATAAATTCCAAGGAGAGATTCCGAAATCCATTGGGAGGCTTAATTCACTTCGGGGTCTTAACTTATCCCATAACAACCTCGAAGGCCGCATTCCAACTTCACTTGGAAATTTGAAAAACCTTGAATCCTTGGATCTTTCCTCAAACAAGTTTGTTGGGGAGATTCCTCAACAATTGAAAAGTTTGATGTTTCTTGAGGTACTAAACCTTTCGGACAACCAATTAGCAGGACCAATTCCTCAAGGGAGCCAGTTTAATACATTTGGAAATGATTCGTACAGTGGGAACTCAGCCTTGTGTGGATTCCCCTTATCAAAGAAATGTGAGGAACAACAACCATTGCCATCTCTACCAACACTGCAACATGATGAAAATTCAGATTGGGAGGGTGGATTTAACTGGAAAGTTGTTGTTATGGGGTATGGATGTGGCTTTGTATTTGGAATGGTTATGGGATATCTTATGTTAGTAACTCGAAGTCCAAAATGGCTGATGAAAATTGTTGAAGGAAAACAATATAAGAAGGGGAAAAGGTCCAAAAAGAGTGCCCACTGATGCAGTAAAGGAAGAAATCAGCAAAAAACAAATGGCGTCATTTAGGTAAGTAGAATTTATCTTTGAAGCATTACTTTGTTGAATTATCTTTTATGGTTTCTATGTATATGCTATTATTGAGTTGCTAATGTTTTTATTTCAAAACTAGATCTGTTCCATCAAGTAGCACAATAAGGCAATGGTGTCCACTTGAAGGGGTGCCTCATGTAGCAAAATAAAGCAATGGCATCCACTTGAAGGGGTGTGTGCATCCGGATAGCAGCTATACAAGATCACTTCAAAAGATTTTACCTTTGTTGCTGTATTGAGTTCTAACGCTTTGTTATGTTGTTTAGTTTTCTTAAAGCACGAGTCAAATAAGAGTTGTACATCATGACTCCTTCTTGTTTCTTTTCTCGCATCATGTAGCAACCTTTAAAGATTTGTACTTTTTTTTATGTAGCTGCTTTTAAATTGGGTTTCAATCAAACTTGGCCTTGCTGAGTTTTTTAACCTTAAAATGCAATCTTAAAAGTTACAACTCAAACCATTCCCCTTGTTTCATTCTTAATCATTTTTGAATGACAAAATTGTTGGCTACTTGATAGAAAATTTGCACTGAAAATAATGTTGTGTTACTCCTTTTAGTTTCTGGCTATGGGCGGAGCTTCTCCAGTTTGGATGTCTGTATTCCACAACCAATCCGGATATTCAAACTAGACATTTAGTTTAGTATGAGCAATAGATGTTTGTCATATTGACACTTTTTATAAATTAATGGTTAAGATTTTGTCTACTTATTTACAAATTCGCAATTAGATCCAAATAAAAAACTTGACCCAATATTTAATATGTGTTGACGCTATATTTTGGCCTGTCAATAGGCCAAATCGAATCTAATTAGCTATGGCCTGCCAATTATGACCAAATCCAATTTTATTGACTGTAGCTTGTTGATTTAGCCTGTCAATAGGAATTGGCATAGATGAGGGCAATTGATACATCACAGTTTGACAGCATCCTCAAGGGATTGAAAGTGTAATTGTCACATTTATCCTTCGAATTAGATTTAATAAGCTTTAAAAAAATTGTTCTTGCGTTTTTCTGTTTCTGACTCTTCTTTTTATTTTTTCAGCATGTAGCAGAAATCAAGGATGAAGGTACATCAAGATAAAATTGAATTTATATTGCACTTAATATCATTATATAGTTTGATGACGATCATCTTTGTACGCATATTGCAGCTGTTGAAAAGGATGGTGTTCAAAAGGTTGATACCGTTGTCACCGTAGAGACAAATACAGTTGTCAAAAAATCGGTTAATAATCGAAAGAATTTAAGGATTGTACAGTAGTTAATGGAAATATATTTTTGTAGTGAGGTTCAGTAAGGTGTTGGGATTAGGAAGCTGGACTTAGTTAATAAGGCGATATTAGAAAAATGGCTATTGAGATTCACACTGAATAGGCATAGTCTTTGGAGAAGATTGATTGAGGGGAGAAACGACAGCTTGTTCAGTATATGAATTTTAGTATTGTTTGGATTGGTGGGTATGATTTAGATTTTGATAAATTTGTTTGAATTTTGCAAAATTGATATGTTTGTTGACCTTTTGTTTGGAGATTTTGCTGTGTCCAATTCGTTAAATTGCCACAAAAATGAAATTTTTGGGAATTCTTCTGAATTATTGTTCATTTGATCAATTGGGTCAGTGTTGTTTTGGTGAATTTTGGTCTGAATTTGTGATTTGGTTGTTCAGAGGGGAGGGGTTTGAATTCAATTCCTTAGAAAATGGGGGTTCCCTCGGTCTCAGGTGAGTATTTGACTTCCCTTGAATCAGTTTTACTTGATTGTTCTATCTCTTTGAAGTAATGTCAATAATTTTCGTTGCTTCAGAGGTTAGTAGGCGTGACTTTTTGCAATTCTTGTGCTTTTGTATGTTGAGGATGATTACTTCAAAGTATTCTATCAAGGACATTGTTATTGAGTACTTAACCAAAAAGAGAAAAAAAGGAAAAAAGTACTTTGACATTGATCTGGTTGATTTATATGCTCCAAGGATTCAACTGTGTTCTGAAAATGGTGGGAAAATTTAGAGAGATGTTGATTGGGATAATCTGCTTTTGAGGGTAAAAAATGAAAAGGGCAACATATCATTACACGAGGCCTTGATGAACGGTCACCAAGTTGTAGTTTATTATTTGATCACAGTAGATTCATAAGTGTCATATTATCTCAACAATGAAGGGAAATCAGCTCTGTTTCTAGCTGCTGAAGTAGGATTTTTGGAACTTGTCACGCATATTCTGTGTGATACAGTTGGGATTGAAAATACAAATGAAAGGCTTAAAGGGAAATCACCTATTCATGCTGCCATTTTAAAAAGAAACCAAGGTAATTCTAACACTTATTCTTGATTTCTCTTTGGTGTTTGCCTTTTTGTTTCTCAATTTATTTTAAAATCCCAGATGTTTTAGATGCCTTATTGAAATCAGAACCAAGGATCATTTGATTGAGAGATGAAGGAAGGACTCCACTTCACTTGATTGCATGATTGGTCTATCTTGAAGAGGTTCAGTACTTGTTATGAAGACGGAGTTCAGGTGCTATTGCAAGGGACAACAATGGCTTACTTCCTATTCATTTAGCATCAATTAAAGGCCATGTTGATGTTGTCCAGGCGTTGCTTCAGTATTGGCCTGAGTCGAGGGAACTGCTCAACTGCCATGGTCAAAATATTCTTCATGTTTCTGCCAAGAGTGGAGGGACATAACATGGTTAGCTACATTCTCCAAACTCCTGAGCTCTAGAAGCTTTATAAACATGAGGGATAAGCATGGAAACACACCCTTGCATTTGGCCACCATGGATTGGCACCCAAAGATTGTTGTGCCCTAACATGGGATGAAAGAGTGGACGTATAGTGAATAATGAGGGTATGTCTGCTCTTAATTCTGCTGAATACTACATGGAAAGAATGCCCTCATTTCGAAAGGTGTGCACTCAGCTAATTAAATAACCCTACACTTAGATACCTAATCAAACATTACAAAATGAAACATCTTTTTCCTTCTGTGTTTTGGGTTTTATTTATTTATTTATATTTGCATCAATTCCACTTACATTAATATGTCAAAATAGGGTCCAAGCAGAGCTATATCTATTGTTATTCATGATTAACGTTTTTTAATGGTAACTATTGTGAATCTTGTGCCAGTCCATGTATACAATCTCGAAATGCTTCTTCACTTGTACTGCTAAAGCTAAAGTTTTCCAAAGGTTGTATGTGTATGAACATTCCTTTTCATAGTACTATCAATTATTATTTAGCATTGACTGGAAGGAATTTTAATGGCCTGCTATTGTAATCGACATTAAGTGGTCATAGCTTAAATTTGTGGGACATTTTTATCTTGCAGCGGTTAACATGGCCTGCAACGAAGGCTGCTGGTGCACCACAAACTTACTGTAGAAAAGTCCTCAATGCTAAAGAGAAACAAGCATCTATGCAGCTGGAGCAAGTGAACATAGATAGCTATAAAGACTGATTCAACACTCTTCTATTGGTGTCCACCCTCGTTGCCACTGTAAGTTTTGCAGCCAGTTGCACAATACCCGGTGGCTATAACAACAACGAACCTGACCAAGGCATGCCAACTATGCTAAAACACAAGTGGTTTCACATGTTCATTTTCTGCAACACCATAGCCATGTATAGCTCCATTATTACTGCTGTTACCCTCATATGGGCACAATAGGGGACCTCAATTTGGTGCTTACTGCCTACAGATTGGCACTTCTGGGGGTTGCTCTCACCAAAGCAAGGAGAAAATGATATCAACAGAGATATTTCCTTATTTAATTTATTTGATTTGTTGGTCAATTGAGTTGTGTTTTTCTTTTGTTTGCCTTTGGTCTTATATGTTGGTATCTAAGTATCTTGCCGGCAAGTATGTAATGGTACGTAATGTTTTGATATTTTAGTGTTTTATAGTTATGTGGCTGTTATGTGTTGGAAATGTGTGGTTTTGTTCTTGTTTCTCCCCAATATGTACTCATTTTATTAATAAATTTTTTGTTGGTAAAATAAAAAAAAAAATTAAAAATAAAGAAAAAGAACTCATCTTGTATATATAGAAATTTTCTAAATATGCATTGGGTAGTAGAAAGAAATACGTAGAGAAAAATCAATGCATGGCTTAGATTTATTCTTGGTGCAGAGGGCATTAAATTCAAAATAAAATGAGATACATATTGATTTTTTTTTTTTTTTTTGGTAAAATTCATTTTATCCTTTGTGCTTCAATAAGATACCCTCATATGGTTTTGGACTAAAATGCAACACCTAACTCGGGAAATTCTATTTCTACACGCCTAATTAGTTCAAGGCATACACTTAATCAACTATTAATTTTATGACAATTATATCCTAAATAAAAATGATCATAATAGATATCTAGCAGCACCCATAATATTATATAGAAAAATTCTCTGTACACCTTTTAAAAACAAAAAAAAAATCTCAATATACACTTTTTGAGTTAAAAAAATTAAACCCTAATTTTTCCATTGTTATAACTTTGCTTGTTACACTCTCTATACTGCTCTATTGCACAAAATAAGAACATATGAGATATGAGAGAGAGAGAGAGAGAGAGTAAAATTGAACAAACTATGAAACTCGTTTTGTACTGAATAATCAGGGTAGCTGTCAAAGATAGTTTGAGGTGTTGGTTTCAGTTCTTATTATTGAACAAATAATCAAATTTAAATACAGTGCAAAAGAAATTTATGGGATTTTACATATAGCCCGTTGCTTTGTAATGACCAAACATTGCTGCAATTATACAATTCTAGAATTACAGTTCATTCGAACTTGTGTTTGAGAGGGACCCCTTCATCCCTTCAATTATACATATAGCCCGTTGCTTTGTTGAGGCTTATCCAAATTTTAATATATAGATAATGTTGATTTAACTTATTTTGATTACTTTGTGATTGTAAATGGATCTTGGGAGAAAACTTCTTTACGAGCAGGTACAAAATGGGTGGCTTGGGAGAGCTCGGGTGGAAAGTTGCTGCTGTAACTAAATCGGTGCAAGTTCTATAAAGTTTGCAAGCAGAGGCTATGGCTGGTTTTCTGGCGTTGCAATGGCTGGAATCCTGGGGATTGGGCAATGTTCTGGTGTGTACGGATAGTGAACTTCTGGTTAAGGGACTCTTGGGGAAGATGATGGATCAGGTAGATATTTCTGCAACTGTAGAGTACATTAAAACCATGCTAGTTTGTCTTTGGAAGTTGGGTAAATCAAAAGTATGGGGAAAGGAGGGGTAAATGGTGTGGGTACCATCCGTGTGTTTTGTTTGAGTTTTTTTGAATTAATTTTGATTTTTTTTGTTTTTAGTAAATATTTTTAAAATTTTAAATATTTTATTTTTATTTTTTTAGATGCACCTTATTTAGATGTATCTAAAAAGTAAAAAATTTGTGAAAAAATATTTTAAAAAATTAATAAATACATAAAATACAAAAAAATATATTGAATTCTTGTATTTTTTTGTATTTTTGGTATTTAGTGAATTTTATAATTTTTTTTTACTTTTTAGGTGTATTTATGTTAGGTGTGTCTAAAAAGTAAAAAAATTGTTTAAAATATTAAAAAAATTCAGTAAAAACAAAAAAACACGAAAAATAAGAAAGCCAAAACTACCAAAACACGCAAAGCCTAATAACAAAAAAACAAAAAAAACACGGAAAACAAGAAATTAGAATTTTCTAAAAAATGTTTTTGAAAAAATGAAACCAAGCAAAATATTTGAGTGAAGGACATAAGTGTAACTTTTAGTGTGTGGATCGAGAAAATTAATCAATAAATAAATTAATAGGTACGTGTATTGAGAAAAGATGTGCCTTAAGCTAATTAGGTGTGTGGAAATAAAATTTCCCACCTAGCTCTGTTAACAAAATTAAAAATTTACTATTTTATCCTCTTGAACAAGTGTGTCAACTAATTACATATACACAGGTTTACACAAAAGATTTTATTGAGTTAATTCATTATATATATACATACACAGGTTTACATATACACATTACATAGAATTTCCCTCAATACATATATATAGGTTTATTTATACACAATTTTATCTGTGTGCATATAATTAAATTGGGTATTGATTTGGTTGAATATTGATTAATCTGACCATAATCGATAGAGTGTGAGGTACAAGCCCTGTTTATTTGGACAGAAATATTCACGGTGAAGAGGTAAATTGTAAAACGATCCAAATCACATGGGGATAATTGACTGTTTTTAAAATATTGGAGATAAAGTGTACACAATTAAACCACAAAGGGGTTAAATGAATTTTATCCTTTTTTTTTTTTTTTTTGGTGCATGTAACATTGTTAGAAAAGTTAAGGCCCATAGAGAAATTACATTTCTTGTCTTCCAATTAAGCAGTTAAAAATAAGGTTCCTACTCAGGCAGCCCAAACTGAGCAACATGTGTCCAACTTGAATTGTTAAGGATTTGACAATATATTTTCAAAATATAGGTTTATGCAGCAATTTAAAAGGCCAAATTAAATTCAAGGCTAGGCGTAGACAAAGATTTTCAGCAACCTGAAACTTGAATTACAAATTTAAATATAAAAATATTAAATATACATATAAATTATTACAATTTTAATTTGATTTGCATTAATTGAATTGTTTGGACTTTCTTTGTTCTTTTCTTCTTCAAACTACTAGGAGATGGAATTGAGGATTGGAGACTAGAGAGTGAATGAACTACTACAACATTCGTTTTAAGTTTATGTTTGTGTTGGTAAAATTTTTGTTAAGCCTTAATCGACAGAGATTTAGGCTTGGTTTGGCATAACTTAAAAAAGTTAAAAAGTTAAAAAGTCATTATCCTATTTAAGTCACATCATCTTATTTAAATCACATCACCTCTCTAACACATCACATCAAACCCAACCCATATAAGTCAATAAGTCAAAAAGTACACTTTTTTATAATATCCCAAACCAACCCTATGAAAACTACAACTAAAAGTTGAGATATTCCTAATAATAATAATAATAATAAAAAGACTCTGATGAGTGTGATGACTTCTAGATCTTGTTTCTTTGTTTCATCCTTGCCGATTTATAGGCTTGAAACCGTCCTTCTCTTGTAACTGCTGAAAGGAGCCCACTTTCACATTAAGTTATATTCCACTACTTCACTTTGTAAGCAACATCTTCCATAGTCATCCACGTTGCCAAGTTCTTTGCTATTCTTTGCACATCATGGGTTCACAACCACCTTTATGCCCCACGTCTGCTACACACTGCACAAAAATAGTAACAAAAACAAAAACAACAACAACAATAATAATAACAATAAAATATGCTCATAATCACAGTAATAATAACAACAAAATATGCTCATAATCACTTAAAAAGATAATTTTAGTCTGAGTCGATAGACTAAAATTGATAGGTCACAATCAATAAGATTAGATATGGCCATGATCGACAGGTCACAATCAATAAAATTGAATTTGATTACAATCGACACGCTACAATTGACAGAAAATAATTTATAGTACAAACAGTTTGTAATGTGAACTTATTGCCTATTACTTAGGATTATTGGCCAATCTAGCGTAGTGATATTTGCTTAGAGCAATTCCAACCGTATTCTTCATTTTTCATCAGCTAAAATATAAAAAATGTATGTTCTTTATTTTACTTAATTTCTTTTTTATTTATGTACTCCAACGTTACTATTTATTTTGTAATGCCCTCAAAATAATGCATAAAACCTCACATTCTTGACAAGCATTGATATAAGAGAAATAAACACTTTTCCATTCATCAGAGTAGTCCTTACAAATGTATTACATATTGACAACAAAAGTAAATGCCCAACGGTTTACAACTTTCCAAGCCAACACTTGGTTACACAAAAGAGAGTACTAACTCATATCATATTAAGTTCTTGGCCTGAATTTACATGTAATACAACAAAATATAACACAAAAAGGTCTGTCAGCCTCTAGCCTCCCAAGCTACGTCCTTGGAGGTGGCATACCATCTGTATCTGCAAATGGTGTCCCATATAGGGTGAGCCACAGCCCAGTAGAAATATACTAAACCAAATATAAGCAATGACTAAAACAATAGCACTAAATAGATGGTTAACACTTATAAAACCAATTATATCACAATACAGTTCAATGACACTTGTGTACATGTTACATTTCACTTTACTTTACTTATCAACTCATTTCATAGACGTGGCTCAGAACCTAGCCAGATAATTTAATAACAACTCGTATTAAACACTTCTTATTTCACAACAGATACACATAATCGCTGTATCAATCTCAAACAAAACACTTCCATACTTCATATATGATATACAAATTTGCTATATCAATACTTCAATAGATACACACATTTGTTGTATCAATGGAGTACATTCCTTATCTCCTCCCAAACAATGTCCGATTTAGGAGTCCATCCCCTATCTTCCCCTAAACCGTGGAGTACATCCCCTGTCTCCTCCCACACAACACAATGTATATAAACACATATCATATACAAGGTCAATCAATACATAAATTTGATGTATTATTCCAACTGTCACATTCGATGACATATTCAATGTGATTAGTTTCGGTTTTCCCTAATCAACATGCAGTGTCTACAACAATCAAGACTATCCTCCACCGATAGCCTAAAGCAGATATTTCTAAACAGAACATAAATGCAACAACAGATATAATATCAACATTTTTCATAGGTGAGTGATAAATTAATCCAACTACACCATTCCATCCCATAATGTCCCAATTTCATTATTCTCAATTCAATTTCACATTTCCCCAAATTAATTATACAAATTAATTATTCATTACAATTAGGGCATTTTCCCCATCTTTCCAATAATAGCCCCAAGGCTTATTTTTCATCCATAATCCATAAACAACCTCCATTTCAAGTCTACAACACAAATATGACTCAAATATGAAAAACCCCTCTTTTGGAAATTACAAAACAAACCCTAACTTTCTCAATATTACCCAACATCACCAACTAATCCAAACGACCAAAATTAAAGACAAAACTCATAAGATGGAGTAGGTTATCCCTACCTCGAAATGAAGAGCTCAAATGAAGAAGATGATGAAAACTCAAAGTGCTCCAAATCCAAGATTTTTCAGATTAGAATGTAGCCCACACAACCCTCTACCTTTCTAACAAAGAACTTAGGGTAGAAACACACTCTATGTAAATCAATCCCTAGAGAGAAGATATGTAGAGAGAGAGAGAGAGCCGGTTCTAGGGTTTGTATAATGAAGGAGATGAAAAAGTGATGTTCAATCCCCCTGCTGCCTACTGATATAACACAGGCTCACTCGAGCGAAGGATTGGTCGCTCGAACGACTAGACACAAAGAACTCTCGCTCGAGCCAACAATTCGAAGCTTCAGGTCTGCAACCCAGAAGCACGCTTGAGCGACAGAATGCTCGCTCAAGCGAAGAAACTCGAAACATACACCTCGCTCGCTCGAGCGAAGGAAAGCTCGCTCGAGCTAAGAAACACAGCTCTCAGGTCCAGAACCAGACGCAGACGCAAGCTCGAGCGAAGGACTTCTCGCTCGAGCCACCAGATACAAAACTCAACTCTCGCTCGAGCGAACAAACCCTGGCTCGAGCGAAGGAAAGAGCTTGCTCGAGCGACAAAGTCCTCGCTCGAGTGAAGACACCAAAATCTGGGCAGCAACCATTTGCTCCCAATCACTCCCAACATGTAACAAACCTGCCTAACACATCCTATAACTCAAAAATAAGGAATTAAAGGATGACAACAATATATATACAACAACGAGCTCCATGGAACCTAAGTCCGGATACAACAACCAAATGGGGAAAGACCGGGATCGCTATATATTTTATCTATCTATACATACAAATTGTTTAAAGAGCCTCTCAAGACTTCAAATGTAGCTAATTTTGAAGAATTTTGTTAAAATAACTATTGTAATAGTTAGTCCATTGAAGTGACTAAAATATACGAATGATAGGTATAATAGCTAACAAGTTTCATTTAAAGAGTCCTTGAAAATGCTCTTAGTAGTATTCATGTGGCTAGGATGTTTAATTTGTTTTGATGTTATTTCATAGTTTATACTTATGTTTCTTATTTTGTTACTTGTTAGATGTTTTATAAAAATTCAACTTAAATTTGTGGGTAATTCGGGCCTAGCCCAAGTTCAATTTATTGAGCTTGAACTAGCCTTGGGTACACAAAATTAGGTTAGAGGTTGGACTTGGGCGGGGTTAGACAACACTCAACACTACTTAGATAACCCTCAACTTACTGAATTTGTTTGAGTTGCACCCCTAGTCAAAAATTATGAGCTACCTGAATTTATACTAAGAGTAATGATTGAGATCCCCACAAGACTCCCACAAATCTAGATCACTCATGATGTGGACCTCACACATATATGGAGGGATAGTATCACTTTGGAGGTGTAGGGGTCATCCCCAAAGAGGGTCCCAAACATTTCCCTTATAATCCTAATGTAATACAAATCAATTAATTCTCATTCCAAATGTACCAAGATGTCATTTCCCAGTGTAAATTTTATACATGGAGGGACAATATCACTTTGGGGGTGTGGGGGTCATCCCCAAAGGGGGTCCCAAACATTTCCCTTATAATCCTAATGTAATACAAATCAATTAATTTTCATTCCAAATGTACCAAGATGTCATTTCCCAGAGTAAATTTTTTCTCCCTATCTTGTGTTTGGATCATAAATTTGGATAGAGATTTGAAAATAAAATTAAAAAAATAAGTAAAATGTGAATTAAATATAAGTTAAATTTTTTCTCTATTTGCCTTTCCTTTTTTCTTTTTAAATCTTTATCTAAATCCATAATCTAAACAACTGTTTTATAAGTAGACTTTTCACATTTATAATCTCATATGGAACTCTGATGAAATGAAAATTTTGATCATAAAATTAGTACATAAGATCAATATTTAACCAAAATAAAAATGGAAAAAATTATAACATAATGATTGGAAAGGTTTGATTAAAGTTGACATAAAGAGCTTGAGGCTAGACCTTGTATTGGTTGGATGACTTTGAAATATTTCTCCCTTTTATCCCACCAACCCAAAGTTGGTTTGTCTTCCATTTCTTTAACAAAATGTTCCGTTCACTCTTGCTTTCTAATACCAACTCCAACCTTTTCTTCACTTACGACCAACCTTGTTGACTTGCTTTGGGACCACTAGAATCAACGCTTAAAATATATTTGGGCAAATTATTTGGACCACTAGTCTTTGTATTTTGAGTTCTATATTATTTTGGACTATGTAAATTTTTAGTGACAAGTCTTTGTATTTTGAGTTCTATATTATTTTGGACTATGTAAATTTTTAGTGACAAATGTGATTATCGATTTTTCAATGAAATGAAACGTGAATCATCAGACTTTTAGTATAATATCCTGTCAAATTTAATTTTCAAACTTTGAGACAACAAATAATAATGAATCTTAAACTTATGCTATAAAAAAGCAAAACAATCTCAAAATTGCGAACTTTTAATTAATTCAGACAAATTATATTAGCAGTCTTTATATTTTTGCTTTTATGTCATTTTTGTTTTTATAATTTCAATGGATTCGATTTTGATCAGAATTTATAATTTTGTCTCAACTTATTTAATTAATTACAACTTTTAGTTTTTTTTGATGAAAAATGGGCACATGAGTAACACGTGTTATGCTTTTATAGACAAAAAATTGTAAACTTTTTCAATTCAATGAATTAACTTCAATCAATTTAATAACATTTTCTTTTAAGTACCCTAATCAGTATTATCAATTGAACCAAATCAACACAAAATTTAAAATTAAGGATTCAAAATTGGGCTTATTGAAATTATTCAGACTAAAAATCACACAAGGAACAAAATGTAAAGATTACCAAAATAATTTCCCATTTGGTATATGGAAAGAGTAATGCTACGCATCATTAAATAAATATCATGAAAAGCTTCATGAAACTAATCTAAGGGTGATTGCATAACATACAATAAAACACTACAAACACTCTAAACTAATCCAAAGGTGGAGAATCTTCATGAAGACTTTTCATGATACTTCTTTCATGATACCTAACATTATTGATATGGAAAACCATTACTAATACCTTTGGGACCACTGGAATTAAAGACAAAAGACTTGCTGCTGCGAACTTGAAAGTCATGATAGATGATGGATAAAAAAATTACATAGTTGTCGTGCTTGACCACCACCACCACCATAGAAAGACTTAGCAGTGTATATAAGAATGAGTAATACATTTATTCCTTCTCCCTCATCAAATCAAACTACTATCCTTCTTACTGTCCTCTGCTTTTAATATATCTCTCTCTCTCTCTCTGAATCCTCCTACCTATAAGAAAACAAAATGAGTTGGCTTATGTTTCTTCATCAATTTCTTCTGCTATTTCTCTTATCTTCTTCTTCTTCTTCTACTTCTACACGCCATACCTGCCTTGAGGACCAGAGATTTTCACTTCTCCAATTTAAAACAACATTTACCATAACTGCTAATGCCTCTTTATATTGTGGATTTGGTTCTCATCCTAAAATGTTGTTCTGGAATGAGAGTACTGATTGCTGCTCGTGGGCGGGGGTCACGTGCGACTGGTCGAATGGTCATGTGATTGGACTTGAGCTCAGTTGCAGCCACCTTCACGGCACCATCCAAGCCAACAGCACCCTCTTCCACCTTCGTCATCTCCAAAGCCTCAATCTTGCCTTCAATGACTTCAATTTTTCTAGAATTTCACCTGATTTTGGCTCGTTTGCAAGTTTGACCCATCTCAACCTCTCTTCCTCTAATTTTACGGGCCGAATTCCTTCAAAAATCTGTCATCTATCCAAATTGATTTCCCTTGATCTCTCTTATTTAAATGATTATTATTATTGTTACTATGAACAGCACACTTTCAATATGATCCTTCGAAACCTAACCCAATTAAGAGAACTACACCTTGATTGGTTGAATATCTCTTCACCTTTACCTCATGCTTTGCTAAATCTATCTTATTTGACATCTCTCAGTCATGGTTATTGTCTACTGCATGGGAAATTCTCAGATAACATTTTTCACTTTCCAAACCTACGAGAACTCAAACTACAGCAAAATTCGGAACTCACAGGTAAACTTCCAAACTTCAATGTGACTAGTTCCCTACAGTTTCTTGATCTCTCCGAGATAAGTTTTTCTGGCCAATTGCCTAACTCAAGCAGCAATCTTAAAGCCTTGAATATTTTGTACCTCTTTAACTGCAACTTTTCGGGGTCCATTCTAGCTTCTATTGGGAACCTTACACAAATCACCAATCTAGGCTTCACGGATAACAGTGTCGGCGGTCAAATCCCCTCATCAATTTCAAACCTTGTAAAGCTTAATGGCTTGTATCTTGACGGAAACAATTTGAACGGACAAATACCAGATTCCCTTGGCAACATGAGCCAACTTACTGACTTGTTTCTTTCTAGAAATCAGCTAACTGGTACAATACTATCTTTGTTGTTTGCTCTGCCTTCACTAGTTGTTATAAATTTGAGTAATAATAACTTAAGTGGTGTAGTGTAGCTAGATAAGCTGCTTAATCTAAAATATTTGTCCTATTTTGATCTCTTATATAATGGTCTCTCATTGAACATCAACAACAGTGTCAACTCTACCTTGACCACCTTTGACACTATAAGATTAGCTTTTTGCAACTTGAGCGAATTCCCAAACTTCCTGTGAGAACAAACTAGATTGCGTTCTCTAAACCTTTCAAATAACAAAATTCATGGTGAAGTTCCAAAATGGTTATTCAATGTGGGGAAAGATTCATTGCAAAATTTAAATCTTTCTCATAATTTCCTTATAAGTTTAGAGCGTCTTCCATGGAAGAATCTATGGTATATTGACCCGCACTCCAACTTACTCCAAGGACCACTCCCTGTTCCACCTAACACCATAATTGTTTTCTCTATCTCAAACAATAAATTAAGCGGGGAAATCCCTCCATTGATTTGCGGTCTGAGTTCACTTCTAGTTCTTGATCTGTCTAATAATAGCTTGAGTGGCTTGATTCCACAATGTTTGGGAAACTTGAGCAACAGTCTCTCGGTGCTGAATTTAGGGATCAATAGCTTTTCTGGCACCTTTGCTGCAACATTTACCAAAGGCAATTTGCTAAGGAATCTTAACTTGAATGGCAACCAAATTGAAGGACAAGTTCCGCGATCTTTGCTCAATTGTGAATACTTGGAAGTTCTAGATCTTGGAAAAAACAAGATAAACGATACATTCCCCCACTGGTTGAAAACTCTTACAGAATTGCAGGTTCTTGTCTTGAGGTTTAAGAGGTATCATGGTCACATAGGCACCTTTAAGACCAAGAGCAAACATCCGTTCCCTAAGTTGAGAATTATCGACATATCTTACAATGAGTTCACTGGGCTTTTGCCAACAAACTATATCAAACAATTTGAAGCTATGACGAATGTGGATGGACATGAATTGAAATTGAAATACATGGGTGAATACTATTATCAAGATTCTGTGGTGGTACTGATGAAAGGATATGAAATTGAATATTCAAGAATCTTAACAGTCTTCTCAATCATTGATTTATCAAGCAACAAATTCCAAGGAGAGATTCCGAAATCCATTGAGAAGCTTAATTCGCTTCGAGGTCTTAACTTATCTCATAACAACCTTACAGGCCATATCCCAACTTCACTTAGAAAGTTAACAAACCTTGAATTATTGGACCTTTCCTCAAATGAGTTTGTTGGGAAGATCCCGTAGCAACTAGCAAGTCTAATGTTTTTTGAGGTACTAAATCTTTCAGATAACCAACTAGTGGGGCGAATTCCTCAAGGGAGCCAATTTAATACATTTGGGAATGATTCATACAATGGGAACTTGGCCGTATGTGGATTCCCCTTATTAAAGATATGTGAGAAACAACAGCCATTGCCACCTTCACCAACACTCCAACATGATGAAAATTCAGATTGGGAGGGCGGATTTAACTGGAAAGTTGTTGTGATGGGGTACGGATGAGGGATATCTTATGTTTGTAACTCGAAGTCCAGAATGCCTGATGAAAATTGTTGAAGGAAAACAATATAAGAAGGTGAAAAGGTCCAAGAAAAGTGCCCACTGATGCAGTAAAGGAAGAAATCATCAAAAAACAAATGGCATCATTTAGGTAAGTAGAATTTATCTTTGAAGCATTACTTTGTTGAATTATCTTTTATGGTTTTTATGTATATGCTATTATTGAGTTGCTAATGTTTTTATTTCAAAACCAGATCAGTTCCATTAAGTAGCACAATAAAGCAATGGTGTCCACTTGAAGTGATGTCTCATGTAGCTATTGCATTTGAGTCCATGTGCATCCGGATAGCAGCTATACAGGATCACTTCAAAAGATTTTACCTTTGTTACTGTATTGAGTTCTAAAGCTTTGTTATGTTGTTTAGTTTTCTTAAAGCACGAGTCAAAAAAGAGTTGCATATCATGACTCCTTCTTGTTTCTTTTCTCATAACCTTTAAGGATTTGTACTTTTTTTATGTAGTTGCTTTTAAATTGGATTTCAGTCAAACTTGGCCTTGCTGAGTTTTTTAATTTTAAAATGCAATCTTAAAAGTTACAACTCAAACCATTTCCCTTGTTTCATTCTTAATCATTTATTAATGACAAAATTGTTGGCTGCTTGGTAGAGAATTTGCACTGAAAATAATGATGTGTTTCTCCATTTTAAAATATTGCCAAGTTTGCTTGTCGGGAGGTAAAAACATTCTCAATTCAATGGCGACTAAAGGATCACACTGGAGATATAGTCTAGCACTTGTTTCCATTGAGATGTGGAAACTTTGTGATTAATTACAGGAGGAAAATGGTGATTCTGAGAGTATTGATTGGAAATGTTATTCATAAGCAAGAAAAGAATCATGGAAATACAATAAACAGTGGGTTTACTTTTTTCAATTGTGATAGTTTGGTGTACTATATTGTTGTATTTTCTCCGCCAATACAATAAACTATTAACTGAATGATTGTTATAAACATTAAAAAATAAGATGGCAGTTATTTGTAAGTTAACTGATCTTAATGTGTCTTGTTGTTCCCTTCAGTTTCTAGTTATGGGCGGAGCTCCTCCAGTTTGAGGCCCCGTTTGTTTTGGGAGATAGAATAGAGGGGATTGATAGTGAGGGGATTATTAATGAGGGGATTAGTAGTGAGGGGATTGATAGTGAGGGGATTAGTAGTGAGGAATTGTTAAATTATTTTTATATAAAATAATAAAACAAATAAAAAAATATAAAAAATTAAAAATTATATTTTAAAAAAAATTTCCCATATATAAAAAATAAAAAAAATAAAAAAATTTCTAATCCCCTCACTATTTTTCTAATACCATCTCTACCTCCTCCTTACCAATCTCCTCTCCAAGGGTATTAGTAATACCAAAGGACTAATAGTCCCAAGGCCTTCTCCCAAAACAAACAAGGCTATTACTAATACCTTGGTATTAGCAATCCCAATACCCTCTCTTTCACCCAAAACAAACGGGGCCTCAGAATGTCCAAATTCCACAACCAATCTAGATATTCAAACTGGACGTTTAGTTTAGTACAAGCAATAGATGTTTGTCACATTGACACTTTTTATAAATTAATAGTTAAGATTTTGTCTACTTATTTACAAATTCACAATTAGATTCAAATAAAAAACTTGACCCAATATTTAATATGTTAATGGGTAGACAATCTGAGTGCCCAAACAACATTCTTTAGTCCATATTCAAATTGGAAAGAAGTCGTTCTCTTTGAATTATCTACAGGAGCATTGGATAATTTTTCTTCTCAAACTAGTTTTCTTCTGACCAACTGCCTAATTCAATCAGCAATGTTTGATCTGTAAGTAGTTCGTACCTCTTATTTTGCAACTTTTTAGTATTGTCATTTTTTTAATAATGATTTTGTTAGGATTTTTACCATAGTAAAACATGTCTTTGAAATACATTATTCAACAACATAACATTAAAATTAAAGCAAAATGACATTAAAATATTATGTTTTTATTTTAAACTACACATCCTAAAATGATATCATTTTAGTTTAGCTTTAAACTTAAAAGATATATACATCCACTTTTTAGGGTCCATTAGAGATTGCACAACTTACTTTAACATTTCTAAAAACAATTTAAATAAATGAATTAAAGATATTTCTTGGATAATCTGAAGATTGTATTTCGATCTTAAATTTATGAAAAAAATTTGTGAAGTTGTGAAGAAACACTACTATAAAATCATAAATAGATCACACTTTTTATGTGTGATATACATTACTTGATCACACGTTTTAAGTTTTGTCAAAATGTGATCTTTGAGAGTGATTAAAAATTGTCATTTTGAATCACACGTTTTAAGTGTCATTAAAAGATGATTCCATCACACGTTATGCGTGTGATAATAAATATTTAGATCACACTTTTTATGTGTGATAATAAACATTTAGATCACACTTTTTATGTGTAATGTATAACTAATAAAACCTATGATAATAAACATTTAGATCACATATAAAAAATGTGATTAAAAATTAGATAAGATCACACGCGATATACATTTCTCATCACAGTTAATGCATATGATAAAAAAAAAAGTTCAACATATTTGAAGAATAATCAATATTATTTTTGTACGCATTTGAAGAATGTAATACACGCTATATACTATCATTTGAATCACAATCATATATTGAATGGAATAACGTCATATATTTCATAAATGAAAGTAGAATGTTCAAAAGCATATACAAAGAAATTAATAAAAAAATATTTAACTGTGATTACATATAATAAAAAAATTAAAAAACTTGAAGCACAAAGTCCTTGAATTCTTTGACCATATTTTGCATCTCTCCGTGCTATTTCTGACCTGAGAAAAACACAAATTAATTCAGAGGCAAAATTTGCCTCTTCTCTAGAAATAATTTTGGGCTAAAGGAAAAATAAAGGCAAGACATATACAAAGATGTGTGTTTCAATCAAAATAATTGAGATAATGTGATTATTATGTTTTTATGCACTTTGACTACAAAATAATTTCTAGGTAGTGGCACATGTGAAAGAAGAATAAAAATTGGATAGTCAGCGTATTTTTTTTGCTACTTTTTTTTTTATTTTTTTATTAGCAAAAGAGAATTTATTGATGAAAAAAAGATATACAAGATAAAATTTTGGATTTAAAATGCATCATTGTCAAAGCCACACATCCCAACTATGTTGGCAGCCATGGCAAGACCAATCATGTGCATAATTCAAAACAACAGTGGAAAATTGGTGAGGTTCCAATTCAATAACAGACAAGCCTCACGCCAAACAAGCTATAAACAAGCACACAAAAAACAGAGGCTACCCAAGCTCATCATACATAACATCTCAGCCACCCCCTCCAATGTATGTCTATCTATATTGTACATATAATTTTATAATCAAAGTTTCAATTCTAACTTTAGTCTTATATGCAAGGATGAATTTATAATTTCTTTAGCTCGTTAAGGCTCATGAATAGGCACGAGCTAGAGTCAAGCCTAAGCCAACTCGACTCGAGCTTAGTTCGTTAAATTTTTATTGAAATTAAGCTCAAACTCGATAAATTCTTAATAAACAAGTCTAAACATACTAAAGTTCGGCTCGGCTCGTTTTTAACCCTATGCAAGTTCAAGTCTAAGAGCATCACCAAGGGGATAGTTAAACAAGGCTTGTTAGGTATTTTAGCTAATGTAAATCTAATTTTGAGCTCCAATGGGCTAGCTATTGAGTTAGCTACTTTACCATCCTATTTTTTTGGTGGCTGCAATTGAAGAGCCCCAGAGGCTCTCCAAACAATTATGTATGTATATATTTTAGATTTTTGTATATTTGTGTCTTGGATTTGGGATTTTATATATTTTATATGTATGTATATATGTGTGTGTATGTAGCAATTTTATATGTTCTTTTAATTCTGTTTGATGAACTACGGAATAACTTATTTTGTATTTTTTTTTCTCCTCATTCTACAAGTTTTGTATGTTTGTATAGGCAAATTTATTATTATTGCAAATTTATATTAGTAAATATCAACAATTAGTATTTTTTTATTTTAAAAATTAATTAAGTTAGTTTAAATGATTAGCTAAAATAAAGAGCGTGGTTGGAAAACACAATAGCTAAAGAAATTAGGTAAAATAAAGAGTGTACTTTTTTTATACCTTAGCTAGTAAAAAGTAGAGAGTATGGTTGGAGTTACTCTCAGACCATATTATACCCAAGGCTAGGCATTTTTCCCATCTACCCACCCTCACAGCATCCTCTAATCCCTGGCTATTAGGGAGCAAAACTAGGGAATAGCCGTTATAATTGAACAAGGCGCTAGTATGCACAAACATCTATGATTCATGAGGCTTATAAGCCAGAAACCCAAGAGAGAGATCTTCCAACTAAACGAGCAATATGGGTTTATGTAGCAATGCCCAAAATACCAAGATAAGCAAACGCCCTAAGATGCCAAACGATGTCATTTGTCTCAAGTCTTCACACACACACACACCAACCCAAAAAAAACATAAAAAAACAAAAAAAAAACTATGAGAATGAGAAAACAAAAGCACAAATGTACTAAATGCAACAAGAATTCATACCTTCCCAGTAGTTATATTCACAATGTGAACAGGGATGTCCTTAGAACCAGTAAGAGCAAGAGTTGAATCAGAGGTTATTGTTAAGCATGTCAATCCTTCAGTGTGATATGAATGACCTACAGAAGATAGAACATTCTTCGTCAATAATGAATAGCAAAATCCAAAAAACAAACACCACCAGCCTAAAATTCAAATTTTCTTCTGTTTAGAAAGAAACAAAAACCATCCCAGAACTCAGAAACCGTTCATCCAGTTTCTCGTTTTTTGTTGAATAACATTAATAGAAAAAAAGCAGTTTACTAAATGGCACCAAATACACAAATGAAATAATCAGATTAAAGTAGAAACATGAAAAAGACACGTGTGCTATATTCTTACATATAATTTTGACATGAATCAATGCTACTGGATGCTGTCATTGCTGGTGATGGGTCTTTAACAGATGCAACTAACACCCTAAAAAATCGAGAATTAGACCTTAAACTGAAATATCATGAGCTCAATAATTAGAAGTTCAAGACTTGAAATTTTAAGGTGGCCATGCTTCGAAGCTACAATTGCAGACCTCAAAATCCAAAATTGCTTTCTGGATCACATTCAGAATTTGCACATACGACTGTGTTGCATCTTTGCAAAGGTAGAATACACCCGTGAGAAAACGGACAAAGAGGCAATCGGAATGTCTCTGCTGGTTATAACTCGTACCTGCTTTAGTAATTTGCTTGCATAAAGCTTTCTTTCTGTAGTTCCTATTTCACCTCTTTTTTTTTTCGTTTTATTTTATGCCATTTTCAACCACACCAACATGCAAGCATGATGGACTCCATTTTAGGCATGAAAGCCATGCTCACAATTCATTTGAGTTGGCCCTGGAGCCATCATAAACTTTATAGGTATCTTGAAACAAGATATTATGCCTTGTCAACAGATCATGTGTTGACCATGGGTATTAGGGAGTATAAGGCCCATCTTCCCCCATTAACTTCAAGCATTTCATATCACGACCATTCAAATTTCCACAAAAAGATATGTTGCAGCACATCAAGCATGTAATTACACTATTATGAATTTAGCACAAAAATTGAATGTTAAGTACTACCTGCACAGGACAAAACAGAACACAAATCTTTAAAAGGAAACAAGTGCATTCCTCCAAAATTTAGTTTCTGAATGAAAATCCTTAAATATACATATATAAGCACAATTTCTATTTTGTTGTGACCAAAACTAGGAAAGTACCATTAGGTGTAAAATCACCACAGGTCACTCTACTAGCGTGACCTTAAAACATATAAAGATAGGCACTTTTGTCAGCATTCCACATCCAAACAATAGAATCCTCCGAACCCGCCAAGACCAAATGTCCTTTTGGATGCCACCTGATCCACTGTGTAGGCAGATTGTTCATACTCAATCTTCATACATTAACTATGTGACAAAAAACACTGAGTAGTCATAAAATCTCACCTCAATGCCCCCATTATGACCATCAAGCGTACACTTGAGATTCCCAGAATTTATGTCCCAGATTTGAACAAGTCCATCAAAACTTCCACATGCAAACAACTGTCCATCCGTACTAAAGGCTAAACTAGAAACAGATTTTTAAGTCTTTGAAAAGCTTCGACTAAAGCACAAGGATTAAGGAATCATGGACCAATTTATGCTACAGTGATTGAAGGCAGAGAAAAATTGGACTAAACAGAAATCATCTTAAAAAGAAAATCATGAACTTTTTTTTGGAGCCATAAAATCATGACATACTGGATTGAAATATGCAGACAGCTAAACAAAATCATTTGCAGTCCAAGATGACGTTGGACAACTACACATGTAATTAAATGATTAAAGTAGCAGGTCGTCAATTATTTGACCGAAACTCAAGATCACCATAATAAGTATGAACCCATAAATTCTGTTTTCCTACACCTAAAAAGTATAAAAGACTTGCGCATTCTAAATAATTTCCTTTTGATAGGTAAGTTAAGGAGACTCAAATTTATCCTCTTTATTGGGAAGAGAACTACGTCCAAACTGTTGGGAACCCTAGGGGACAAATACTGCTTAAATTGATTTTGTGATTAGACAACATGTCACTTAAATTATAATAGGACAACCATTAACAATAACTTTGATGTGCTAAAAATGGCATTCAACTAAAATACTTTTTAAGAAGTTTAACTAGTAGCACTATCTGAAAAGCAACAGAGTAAGCACTTTATCTTTGGTTTTGGCCCTTCAAGAGCATTATAAGTAGGGAAATGGAGCTGTCCATGGGGTAACCATATTTACCCATTCATTTCTAAGTCAGGTTTAACGAAAATCATCAGAGATGCTGTAACCAGGGATAAAAATCTCTCTCTTCACTTTCTTTTTTCTTTTTTTCTTTTTTTTTTGGGAAGAAATAAACCTTATGGGTTTACGTATAGTTTTCTCAAACAATACTGTTTTGAAATGTAATGTCAGCATTTTGAGTTCCAAAAAAGAAGATCAAAAATAAGAAACAAAAAATCTATGACATGTAATCTTAGTAGTCTATGACTTGTAGCAGTTGATGTGAATCTAAAATAATGACAAAAGTATAGGATGCCAAACCCCATATGACAGGAACTGCATGAATAACCAGAAACAAGGAATCATTCTATACGTTTAGGAGTTTATAAATTTCCCAAATAAAATAAAAAAAACTATTTCAAAGTAACAAAATGTAGGAAGAAAGAAAAAGAAAAGAGAGATTATTAAGGTAAAAAAATGAAAATAATAAATTTGTCAGTGGATGATTTGTGACAATCTTCCCTAGCAGGCCTTCTAGAAAGATGGTCGGTGTGACCCAAGCATTTTAATAACTTCTAGATAGCCAATTATGTATCAGTGACTAATACCTTGTAGCTCAAAAGCCCAATCTCCTTGACCAATCTTCCAAAGAAATCCTTTGTCATCTCCACCCCCTGTTGCCACTAATGTACCATCTGTTGGGCTGCATACAACCATGTACAGTTCATCGATGCTCAAAAATAGAGAAGAGAAGTTTTCTCTAGAAACTCAGTACTCCGATGCATTGCAAAGTCAGAGCATAGTTAGTTGCCCATAACTATTCTAGGATCAAAAGCAACCAAACAAGTGCATGTGGTTCACAAACACCAATTAATAGAGCACGCTAATTTTCCTACCTCAGTATAGTAAGAAATCAAATAGCTGGTAAGTGGAAAATAAAGAACAAAAATATTTGATTCAAATCTAGCTATATCAACCAGGGCAATAACCTTCATATCACAAAAAACCATAACATTGGAATGGTGAGAACTCATTGGACCACCTTAAGAAACTCAAATCAGAAGTAGATGAATTACTCTAATCAATATTACAAGAATCATACAACATACACTACGGATGGGAAATTCTAGTTTCTATTTCTCTCATGACTATGGAACAAAAATATAAAAAAGATACTTATATATGTGCCTGCAGATGTAATCCTATTTTGTAAAACCTTCAAACACCCAACACTCACTTATGAACAGCCACTTAACATCCACTATTACACTTTCTACACTGAAGCACCCATTGGAACTGCCAAAGAGAACAACTATACCCCACGTGTATCATGTTATCAAATTCCACCAACACAACTTGTATGACACCAATAAATATTAATAAAAACCCAACCAAACACCATACTACAGCGCTCACGCCAATCCCCAATCAATACAAATAGGAGCATGGATTAAAATAAATCAAGTGAACAAGGAAGGAAAATGGTGAAATGCATACCCAAGACAGTGATTCCACTTGAAACTCAAATGGTGTGACGGCTCGCAATTCTGTAATCCACTCGAAACATTCAGGTTTGCTGTAATCAATCAGCAAAATACTTCAAATCTCCATCAATACATTTATTCCTCAGCAGAACAGATCAAGCCTCTGCATAAAAAAATAAAAAATAAAAAAAAACCCTAAATCTAGAACAAAAATCAAAACACATTTACTCATTTCACAGAAATCAAGCTTCTACAGCATCAAAAAATAAAATAAAAACCCTAGAGCTAGACTGAAATGGGGAGAGAGAGAGAGAGAGAGAGAGAAACCTGAATCAAAATCGATAGGAGGCGAGGTGGTGTACCGACCGTGGCGATAAGACGGTGGGCCACAGTGAGGGACAGTGATTGCCGTCGATGAGAGGGACGATGGGCGATGGGCAACTGTCAGTCAATGGGAGGAAAAGCGATTGGCTATATGAGAGGGAGCAAACGATGGTCTGTTTGTTGTCTGGTTTGTTCTTTTGTGTATGTATTATAGACACGCATAATAAAGTTTTAAAAAAAAAAAATTTAAAAAGAAATATTTATATATAGCGAGACTTAAGGAGCATTTCTAACGGTTAATCAAAATTTTCATCAAATTTAAATAAAAAAAAGTCAATTTTTTCAATTTGATACGGCTTGTTCCAACCGTGCATCAAAAGGGAAGGGTCGACCGGTTGGTCGATCGGTAAGAGTAATTTTTTTTTTTTTACCTGTTTGAACCTTTTTTGATCGGTTTGAACCCATTCTTTGAAAGGAAACCAGTCGACCGGTTGGTCAACCGGCCGGGCAACCGGTTGGTTGACCGGTTGACCTCCTCTAACGGTCACGCACAGTAATTTACTGAAATCTGTACCCTGTTCTCAGTTTAATGATTTTTTTGTTGAATTCTCATTTTGATACTAATTTGGTAAAACCATTGGAGCACCAAAATGTGACTTTTTCACCAAAATTTAAATCTGATGCCAAGTTTGGTTCACCGTTGGAGATCGTCTAAGTGACATAAAAGAAATAAATATAATCCCACTTAATTGAAAAGTGACATAAAAAAATAAATATTATTACACTTAATTAAATTAAGGGCTGGTGTGACATCCTTTAAAAAAGTCAAAAAGTTATTTAAAAAATTTACTATTCACCAAAAAAAATATTAAAAAATTAATTTTATATTTTAAAAAAAAAAGTACGACTCACTTCTCATGTAAGTTGTACTTTAGCTGATGTTGGTTGGACAAAGGGAACATGCGGGTGCACAAACAAGACGGTATTGTTCGGCTCATAGGGGCCCATCACGGATCCCGTTTTGATAATCTGAACCGTTCAATGTGTAGAACTCGTTGAGTACTATACACTTTTTAAAATCACGTTGATCGGATATCGCTGACTACATGATCAAATCAGTTTTGTATAAAAAACAAAATGGATGGTGTTATAGTTAACGGTTGACAAAAAAACTAATTCGATCAGATAGCTATCGATATCCGATTAACATGATTTTTTACAAGCATATAATACTCGACGAGTTCTACATATTGAACGGTTCCGATTAGCAAAACGGGACCCACGGTAGGCCCCATGGGCCGAACAACATCGTCCAATTCCATGCTCGAAAAGGAGGCAAGCATCTCCTATACATTACTCTACACAATATTGCCACCGTACTGCCTACTCTCCAAAAAGCTTCTCCTATACACTAATTTATACAAATTTTTAATACACATTTTTTCATAAAAAGTCAAAAAGTTATCTCAAACAACCATCTTTTTTCTTCAACTTTTTAGTCCAAAAAATGCACGTATTTAGGACATCCCAAACAACCCCTTATCAATCTAATTTTTTTTATCACACTTTCAATAAAAGTGAGATATTTTCATTTGTCAAAGTGTGATTTTTAATTATTTATGTAGTAGTGAAAGAAAATACAGAAAATAAGGATAGTTTTCTTGGGCATTATCAAGTGGGTGAACTAGTTTTCTTTTTCCAAATATCAAAACTTGAATAAAAGATAGTTTTAATACTTAAAGTATGCGATCTTTTTTATCTTTGTCCCTTAAATTTCAATTTGTCATTTTGGTCCTTAAAATTGTCAATTTGAATCAATTTTGTCATAGCTCTTACATCTGTGTATATTGTTAACGGGAACAGTATGGCTAAAAGACAATTTTAGTCCATAAAGTCGTTCTTATCATTTTAATCTCTTAAATTTTAATTTTTATCATTTTGATTCCCAAAGTTGTCAATTTGAGTCAATTTAATCCTATCTCCAATCATATTATGCCACATGTCTATTTGCCTTGAATATATATCTTATTATACTGTATCACCATACACAACGTTTGTCACACCACAATTTTTATTTACACGGAATCATTACCAAAAGTATTTAATTTAGGTCCCTTTTTTTTCCATAAATATCTATTACCTTGAGTAATAGAAACATAGGCTTGGTTTGAGAAGTGTGTTGGCTTTTTGACTTTTTAGCTTTTTTAACTATTTTAGCCTAGAGCTAAAAAACTTTGTTTGGGAAGGGCTTTTGGTTTTTTTGTGAGAGAAAGAATGTAATAATTATGAGTTAGATGTGATGTTTTGTCTTATTAGGCTAAAAAGCCTATTTTGTTTTTTATGGCTATTTTAGCCCAAAAAAACCTCCAAACCCACTTCCCAAACAGGCATATAATAATACATGTTCTCTCTCATAATTAATACAATAATAATAATAATAATAATAATAATAATAATAATAATAATAATAATAATAATAATAATAATAATAATAATACATGCCAAGCTTCCGCTACAAAGTTACCAATAAATAATTACAAACGTTAATATACTGAATTCAATTCTTTCAATCAATCTGAATTCTCTTCCTGTAAAGATACATGAACTTCTTGACTTTCCAACCAATCAATCTGAATTCTCTTCCTGTAAAAAAAATGAAATAATGATGGCTGAGCACAATTGCCTAGTAAGAATTTCATAGTTCTAAAACAATAACCATCCTATAGATAGAAATGATTATACATGCAAAGTGATACCATATATTAAAGTGATGTTTTGTATGTTCAAAATATTATACGTAGAGTATCTTTTTCTTAAAATTTCATTTGAACATTTAAGAAAACTCCCTGACATAAATGTTGTCTCTCATCATTAGGAAGCCATAAATTCTCTTTAAAAATAAGTGCACTTAAGAAAGAACATCATCTTAAATTTATTAACCTGCTTCTAAATTATTCCTCATTTTATTTCCATTTTAATATTCCTCATTTCATTTCCGTTTTTCTCTTATAATATTTCTAATTACTACAACTACATAACACCAAAATCCAAATTTCCTTCATATTCAAAAAGACGATCCTCATACACTTAACTCCCACTTGTCTAATGATTACATCACACTAACGTTTACATTATCAATTAGAGTTCAAACATAACACAAGAATAACAAACCCTTTTTAATTCAATTTCTCAATTATTTACAAAACAAAACTCGTAATCTTCCCATATAGTCACAAGCAATCCAGTGAGTTCATTATCACCAACCTCTAATCCAATTACCATTTCATTTTCTATTCTTTCAAATACTGTCATATCCAACACCGGATCCATTAACAAGTCATCTCCATGAGTCACACGCTTTACTGGTCACAAGCTGAAAGGAACATGGAACCGCACGCTTTACCGGTCACAGGCCGAAAGGAACACGGAACCCTAACATACCACATAATTTATCGGGTGCTACTCTGGAAGGAAGGCAGAACCTATTTCAAGCGCCACGCTTTGCAAGCTCAAAATACGGCGGGAAACGGACCCCAAGGTAACATCACAATTCATCATGATAATTAGTGGGCAATGCCAACACATCTTCCATTATTCCCATAACACATTTGTTCCATTATTCCCGTAACACATTAGTTCAATACACATCCACCATATGTTAAAATTCCATTTACATAACAAGTACACAATATGTTCCACCACCATCTCTATTATCCATCAAATCATTCATTGTTTTTATTACAAAGAGGCATAAAGATCATCTTTAATGTGTTCACAATTCTAAGCAATAAACAACAATCCTATCAAACAATCAAGACAAATCAACACAGCGATTTTAATGTGGAAAAACCACAATTGGAGCGTCTCCAATTGTGATAAAAAAAAAATCACGAGTAAAAGCCACAAAACAATCCACTAAGAAGACAAAAAGGAATTACACAAGTGTACTCTCAATTACCTAGCGAATCCACGCCCGAATCGAACCAACCCCCATGTGCCTCTTCCAACCCCGTCTTCACCTCGGAATTGTCTTGCCCAACATTGATTCCACAACGCCCATGTTGAATCACGACGATGAGCCACTCCAGAATCCACCAAAGCTTCAGGCCCGAATTCCACGGAATCCACTGAAGAACAACTCTCTCTCTCTCTCTCTCTCTCTCTCTCTCTCTCTCTCTCTCTTTTGTGTTGAATGAACAAACAATCCTTTGATGTATACTTCTCAAACCATGAGTTAAACTCAAACAAACATCAAAGAAAGTAGTAAAGAAGCTCCAGATATTAACCCTAATATCCAAGAAGAAGATTTGGAAGCCTTAACCCTAAAAAGCAGATGAAACCACATATTTATAGAAAACTGATCTGCGATCTCCGCTGGAGCGCAAGAATGGCCGCTCGAGCGGACTGACGCTCGAGCGCAAAAACACAACTTCCAGTACTTTTGTAGACAGTTCAAACTTTTGGAGCCAAACGTTCTCCGCTCGAGCGCACAAACGGCCGCTCGAGCAGACAAGCAACTTCGAATGCATTTTTGCATTTTAGTTAGCGAAGTGGCAAACATAAAAGAATTAACTTCTGAAACATCTATGCAAGGCACAATTCAGGTTGGATTCACATCTAAAAACTCATAGCCTCGCTGAAATAAAAGATGAACAAAATTGCTACTGAAAAGAGTTTTGTTAAACAGGATTGCCAAGAATAAAAACCTAACATTATCAAGTCTTCAAATTCAATTTTCACAACACACTGATTATCAATTATTACCCAAGGCTATGAATTCAATCTCCAACATTAATTTCTTTGATACAACTCCTTCACATAACACCATCATATTTCACAATCTCCCATGTATCATTATTTGTATAAGGAAAATACCACAAATCTATCTATAAATGAGAGTATTGAATGAGAACTAGAAACCCCTACCTCTTGTAGCAAGGAAATGACAACCCAAAAATCACTAGCGATGAAACCACGAAACTCTTGGATCAAAAGGAAGCTCTTGACGAGATCTACAATTTTTCTCAAAGGACCAAGGTGAAAAGATCACTCTGGGCGAGTAGATCTAGAGATCTAAGTGAAAAAGTTTGAGTTTAGAGAGAGAAGAGAGAACTCACGGCTTGGGAGGGGAAAGAAGAGAAAAAAATAATGAGAAAGAAGTGGTTTGGGTCTATTTATAGTAGTAGA